AGTGTGCAAAATAAGAAGAAGAGGTACGAGTTTGCTAAGAAATATACAGGGTGTTCGGCCAACCCTGGGAAAAATTGTAATGGGAGATTCTAGAGGCCAAAATAGGATTAAAATCAAAAATACCAATTTGTTGATGGAGGCTTCGTTAAAAAGTTATTAACCCCTTAACCTACAACTACGTGTGAGACACGTAGTCTTCTATTCGGACCAAAACTGATTACCACGGGCCTGGCTCGTAGTACATCGGTCGGGCCAAATGTAAATACTACGGGCATAGCTCGTGGTACATCGTGCGCGTTTAGTACAACTTAAGACCGATTTGCCGAACCGCGAAATGACTCGAAGGCTGCGCGATCTTGTTGACGCTTTGGGACCAGGCTGTTGAAACATAAATCGTAGGTTAAGGGGTTAACGTTTAAAGTAACGACAAATTTAGGCACCTACCCCCTGCCGATTTTTCTTAAAAATTCGTTTTTCATTTGTAGTAATTTTGCTTGGCGCCTTACAGAAATGTTGTCTAATACTTTTTTGTAGGTAACCATGAGCTCTACTTCAGAAAGAAGTTTCATTGAAATATATTTACTATTGTAGGAGTTAGGGCTGTTTGAAAATTGGTTTAACTTTACGGGGTCAAGGAACAATTTTTTCAATATTGTTAGAATTTCTACATATTCTTCGCCCAAATACGCGTTGTTTGCCGTTTGAAACATTAAAATCCTCCAATCCGTTCAGGAGTTATGATGTTTCATAGATTGGCATGAAATTTCGGGGAACCATTTCAGGCCTCAGATTATATTTTCGGTAAGGAATTTTTTTCTCGAAAATGGGTAGGATTTCGGGGGTATGTCTATTGATCAAAAGTGATTGTAATTGACCCTTGCAACCAAAAATAATTTTTTCAGAATGATTTGAAATTTTTTAATTTAATTTTTTGATAACTTTTTAATGAAGCCTCAGTCAAAAAACTGATATTCTTGGTATTCATCTTATTTTGTCCTCTAGAATCTCTCATTAAAATTTTTCCCCGGGGTGGCCGAACACCCTGTATAAAGGAACAGTTTACTTTTTGGAAAAATGTAATTTTTACTGACGAATCGAAATATAATATCTTCGATTCGGATGGTAGAACAATTGTACGGAGAAAACCAAATACTGCTATGGATATTAAAAATCTCCTAGCGACAGTTAAAATGATCTGGGGTTGTATGTCAGCATCTGGCTTTGGAAATCTGGTATTTATTGATAATATAATGGATAAGTGGTCGCATTTGAGTATATTAAAAAATAATTTAAAAGAGAGTGCCGAAAAAATGGGAATTTTAAACGATTTTAAATTTTACACCGACAACGATCCGAAGTACAATTCTCATGTAGCGAAGATTTGGCTATTGAATAACTGCCCTAAAGTTCTTCAAATGCCCCCACAATCTCCTGATATCAATGTCATAAAACATATTTGGAACGAATTGGACAAAAAAGTAAGATTACACAATATTACAAACAAGGAAAGCCTTATAAAAGCTTTCGCAAGAAGAATTGTCGAAAATAACACCTGAATTTTCTGAGAATTTAGTAAAATCAATTTCTCGACGACTGCAGTGTGTTGAAAATACATTTGGCTACCCAATTAAATATTGATATAAACAATTTTTATTATGTATATCATTCTAAAACTGTATCTTATTTCCTCTGTACGATTTTTACTGAGTACTACTAAAGGTTTTTTTATATTGTTGTTATGTATCAAATAAAGAAACATTACACTACATGTCTCTATACGAGTTTCAATAATTTAGTACAATTTTCATGTTTTATTGGCAAAAATATCGGCTGAACCGCTAGGTGTACGATTTTAAATGACAGTCACTGTATCTAATACCAGAAATCTTCATATATTTCAGAAACAAAGACGACAAGAGAATCTCAATAACACCAACAGAAAGAAATTCACAGGATCAACAACCATCCCCAATATAGACTACCAAGAGACACATACAGACTGAACATACAGAAATACTGGTGGCTCACGAACCAGAATACAATAATTAAAGCCATTAAAAGAAGGCGAACAGCAAACTGAAACAAAAAAAAACAAAACGGATAAAGCAAACCACCAGAGTATGTAAAAGCCCCGACAAGGATAGCAACACCCAAAACTGTACATATGTAAATAGCACTAGATTTAATGTAAATAAACACGTTACTAAAATTTTACATGCCATGTAAAGGCTTCGAATTCGTTGACAGGAAAATCGTGTACATTGGATGCATTAAGTGTAACAAATTAATACGTAAATCTTGCGGCCATAAAAAGAGGATAAACACAGAAGCTAATTCAGTAAAGTTCTAAAGAATTCTGAACAAAGTGGTTACTGTTGGTGATGTACAACAGAGATGTAAAACGAGAGACACTCTCTCTCATTTTCAAGAGTATCAGAAATTTCCAGAATCTGAGGAATCTTCTACGTTCACAGAAACCATTTTCACTCGGAAAATCAAAAGATAAATCTTCATTTGAGTCCGATCCAATCCAATCCATCAACTCCATTAACCTCTTGCGCTGGAAAGACTCTTGCTCTAGGCACGTCGCTTGTTATATGCTTCTAAAGTGGGAATGCCAATTAATTTCCAACGCAACAGATTAATGGGAGATCCGTCGTTTGTATTAAATACAAGTAATCCTCGTGAACCGAATATTACATGCATCGAAATGTCATTTTCCAGAATTATTTCCACTCGTGGATATTGCTTCATCTGTGGGTCCAAAACCAATATTATCAATGTACTACCAGAAACAAAAAAGCAGATATTTATCAGGCGGAGATTATACATATGTATGTTCCTAAAGGAAATAGATGTTGCCCTAATCATTTATTTAAAAAACGGTTGTTCAAAGACGTTATGTTGAACTTACGCATACATTCAAATAATACCAGTTTGATCGATGTTAACAAACTTGAAGATTATTTCGAATACCTTGCAGTTATTAGCGATTCTAGAATTAAAGATAAGGTAGGTAACTTTACATTATCAGAGAAACGTCTTAACATAATCACGGAATTAACTTGGGAAAATCTAATACAACTTAGAGAAATGATGACTTCCATGGGATACACTGAAAAACACGGTGTCACACGCCGACTATTGTCGTCTTTTTGTTCAAATTGCAAACTGGAAATTCCAATAGTATGATAGCTGCAATCAACTTCACGTCTGTAACTTCAACAATTTACAAAATTTTGAAAAATCCTTTGAGACACGTTTAAATAACGCTAAGGACTATAACATATCCAAAGTCGAACATAATTTAATAAGTTGAATGATCCTATTTTATTATTCACAAAAACGTTATAAAATTTTTCGCGTTCAAAGTCATATAAAAGCTATAGTATTATAGGTTATTAAATTGAACTTGATCATAACTATCATGTAATGATGATAAATTGCATAGAGTATTGATATCTACAACATATTTCAGTATCATCCAAATCGATGAGACGGTCATGATTCCAAATAATTATCATTTATCCATTGCTCTTCGGATAAAAATAAATCAATTATCCGAGTCTTCGAAAAACGAATAAAATTTGTTTATTCTTTATCACTTACTCAAAATTTTTATTTAGATAAAAATTTTGCCCACGCCTGCTAATCATATGAATTATTATGAAGTAACAATACTCTCTCAAGTAATAGTTCCATGATGTACAAGATTTAAAACAAGCATTAATAAAATATCTTATTAAAAAGGAAACTTGTTGAAGAAAGGAGTACAATGTATTATTTGTAAAAAATAGCTCTCATTACTTGTATTTATATGCCACCTCTGTAGTAGCGGGGGAAAGTAAAATCGAATAAATATACATATATCATTTGATATTACACATATTTTATACATTAGAATAATCAATCGGAATACGTACAATATTAATTCTTCATTGTATTACAGTGCTTCAGTAATCATGTACAACTGGGAAAATGATTGATTCTACGTAAAAAAATAAGTCGAAAATGTACAATCAAATTTTGTCATACAAGAAAATTTTCTCTTTTAAAGAAAATCGACTTTGAAAATTCATGGGGTATGTGTGCAATTGAAGTATGACTTGGCCATCTACACAAGTAGAAATAGTGAGTAATAAACAATGGTACGCCTAATCCCACAAATTAAAAAATTCTGCCATCTTGAAAACGAAGCATTGTATGATAAAAATTTTACATTTTTTACTTCCTTCCTGATTGCACCACTATCTATTATTGATCGAGAATTGTTATTTTATAATTGTTATTTTATTATATTGTTCAAAACAAGTGCATTACTTTCAAGTCAGTTTGTTGAACAAAACCGATACGCTTTCAAGAAAAAGAACGTATGACGGAAATCGACTTCCCTGCATACAATAAATTATTACACTGTAACTTATTTTAGATGTTTCAGAATATCGTAACCGTTCTACTATGCGATTGACAACAGAGTAATTATTCTAACATCTCATCAACACAACTAAAGAGTTTGTCGAGAAAGAGAAGGGTATGTGTTTGATGTGTCATATTTTCCTCAAACGAGACGAATTAACGTTGTCTAATGAACACAAAAAATGCATCTTTTGCTAATAGTAAATCTGATAGATACTATTTCTTTTTTCTAATACTTTTCCTCTGTTGTACTACTTATATATAACTTCACTTGACAGAGCAGACAATTTATTATAAATTATTAATTTAATATAGTTGACACAGAAAAACATTTACTTTCTTTTAAATTAATTAACCATTTAAAAATCTAATATTTTTATGATGCAAAATAAATTTTCATACAATCCTAATTTGTATACCTAAATAAGGACGATTCACAACGTGATATCGTTTAAAATGGTATTTATTTAAACAAAATTTTTAATTTTATATAATGATATTGTACTTTGCATATATGCTAGAAATGTACATCATTTTAATAATCCCAGACAAAATAGTAATAATTGTAATAAAATTATGCTTACCATGTGAGGGAGTATCCATGAGTAAAGTGCTTTAATATCTTCTTCCGCCACCACCGCCTCCACCTCCCATATTTCCACCTCCAAGAGAACTGCCTCCATAGCCCCCTTGATTACCATAACCACCACCACCTCCTCCAGAATTGCCACCGCCCATAGGACCTAGAAGTTGTATAAAAAAAATTGCGAAGTTAGTAAAACTTGACTGGAATGAACTAATTTACCAAATATTGTAAATTAATAATGGTACTGTATTAATGCGGCAATAAGTATGAAATGACCCTGATTATACTAAGAAAATATAAATTTAGTAAAATTATATATTTTTTACTAAAATCTAGGGAAACTAAATGTTTTACAGTATAAGATGTTTGTACGTGGCTGTTGCAAAAAACGTAATACATGTACAAATGTTTCAAAATAATTATAAAAACAAAATACTTATGTAAAATAATTATTTATATCCTTATAAAGATATTATGAGCAAACTGTGTTAAAATAGAATAGGACAATGGACAAAGGCGCTCCTTCTCTCTGCAACATCGCGCCGTATGTTCTGATTTAATTTATAATACATGTAAAATACATGTACCAATTTATTTGCAAATATTAGGGACTCTTTGTAAATACTAATGAGAATGATATAGTTAAAATTTACCTTACCACACTACATGACTTTTAGATTATGTAAACAAATGATTTACTTTAACCCATGGATAAATCTATGCATCTAGACAAATGACACTTTATAAAACAATCTAACATTCATCTTGATCATTGAACTCGACGTCAAATTATTTTTACTTTCACATATATCATCATACTCATAAGTACTTGTATGTACTTCATACAAAGATTACACAGTACATAAAACGCGAAAAAGACGCCACAGAAGTCTACTGGTGAACAAAACTGAAACAAGTGATTTTTATAGAGCCTACATGTTGTCACAAGCAGTCTTAACCAAAAGGCATTCATCCCAATCTAAAAGTTGGGTTTCCTAGTAAGAAATTGATTTATTTTGAACTTTTTATTTTCCTAATAAGTAGAATGCACAAAAATAAAAAACATTTGTCTTCGAAATGGTCAAGATGAATATTGTAGCGTGTTTTTTTAAACATTTAACCATCCACTTTCACGTTTGCAAGTTTATAAATTTAGTAGTCAACGGCCTTTTTCAAACCTGTGTAACTTGATAAATTCCACCGTAATCAACCACTGAATGAATGAATTCACAAATTCAATCGTGAGTGACCATTCCTAGATTTGCTTGAATTATTTGCGTAAAACTTTTACAATCGATATGGTTCCCTGACCGACTTTATAAAATCTAACAAGAAAACATCTCCATTTGACAATCGTTATTTTTTATAAAATTTTTGCATGAATCTTACAAAAATATTTAATAAGCATTTTCTTTATCAGCAAACATCAATACTGAAAGGGTTAATATTTTAATCCACAACGTTTGGATTGAAAAACATATTAGTCTAATATTTCAAAGTATTTCATTTATGAAAGAAGTTTATATACGTAAATTGCATATCTCTGAACGACGAATTTATCTACGTACTCATCTTTCAGATAAATTTATTTGTTTAAATATATATTGAAGATTAATATATTTTTAATTGTTCTTGTAAAATATAGATCAATTTTCGTATAAATATGTGTAAACTACCAACCGTACTACAAAAGGTGAATATTTTGAAATATTGATTTCCTGCATTATAATAAAAATGTAATTTATTTAAATTTAAACAAATGCACTTTTCTGAAATCTATATACCGTATGTGAATGTATCATCCAAAAATGTAGTTTTTACATTGTGTTTACGTTAGAGCGATAACGAAACGAACACGGCTTAGAGGATGTATTTCTCAACAGTATTCTGTGAGACGTTCGAATGTCAAAAGTCGTATTCTATGCCCTGTTCAAATTTAGATCATTGTTATTTGAATATATTATAACATTTTGCAATTATTCCATAACATTACGTCTAAGAAGAAAGAACAATCGTCGGAAAATAAACAAGTTTTTCACGAGCTAACAAGCGATGCTAACCCAAAACCAGAAGATTATCAGTAACGAATTTCATATTGAAGAATCCGACGAAACTCTAATGGACAAGAGAAATCAATTATATATAATTTTATGTGAGCTTACATTGGGGTTCGAACGAACCCCGTGTCATCGTCTGTGTAATCGCCCGATGGTCTGCCGTCTGAGCGTTAAACTTTTTCCACTCCTACTAATTTTAGAAATATTAAAGCAAAAGCGACCTACCTCGCTAATGTGATCAGTGACAAGCGAAAAGTTTCACCCGAAATAGACGAAAGGTTAAGCGTTCATAAATTTCAAACAATCTAGATGCACAATTTACCTGTGAAAATTGCGATAAATGATCCTTCTGCATTTCACACAACATTATAAAACTATTTGCATATAAAATTGTAATATTTAAGCTGAACGCCCCTTGTGCAACTTGGTATAATTACTATGTATAATAATCATGTGAATTGTACGTATAAAAACATAATTAAAATTATATTATTAAAAAAAAAACTAATAAAAATCTAATAGTTGCTCAAGATGCGTAACAGACGCGTTGGCTTTTGAGAAGGACAGAAGCAACCTTGTCCACCAAAGGATGATAGCCATCTCGAATCTCCAGATTGTCGGCCACTAGGACCCATATTAATACCATAGGGAGCAGGTCTTCCTCCAGAGTTGAAATTATTCCGAACTGGACCGCCGCCATAGCCCTGTTGGTAACCTCCTCCGAAATTATCGTTACTCCAGTTTCCGCCACTGTTATATCCGCCTTGACCGCCTTGACCTCCCCATCCACCTCCTTGAAAATAAATTTATTAGAACGTATTCAAAATTAACTAATGTATTATGTAATACTTAGCATGGCGGGAAAAGTTTATTTTTCTGCGAACCTTTACCTTGATTCTGATTCTCCCAAGGACCGTTACCGCCCCAACCTCCTTGATTACCTCCACCATAACCACCCTGATTACCACCATTATTCCAATCTCCGCCACCGCCACTTCCTCGTCCTCCCCAGTTACCACCGCCACCCTGGTTACCACCACGAGGTCCTCTTCCTACATTTTGTCCTCCTCTGCTACTACCACCGCCACTACCACCACCACCACCAGACGCAGACGCCATTTCCGCTCTACTTAAAGCCTATGAAAAGATTATAAAATAATTTAAAACTTTTGTAGCATAATACATTATTCTTCTGCATATATATTAATATTGTTTTCTTTTTTACCTTCTTTACATCGACATGTTTGCCACGTATTTGATGATTACGTTGTAAGCAAATTTTATCGACAGGATCATAATCATCAAATTCGACGAAACCGAAACCACGTTTTTTCCCCGATTCCTTGTCAGTGACAATACTAATTGAACTTATGCTACCATAACTTTGAAAATATTGTCTAAGGTCTTCTTCTTCATGATCTTCTTTTAAACCACCCACAAACAATTTTTTAACAGTTGCACCAGCCTCTGGTCTGCCAATTTCTTGCCTAGGAACAGCTCTCTTAGGTTCAACCACACGCCCATCTACTCTATGCGGTCTATAATTTTACATAGAGAAGTGTAAAATTATTAATTTAAGTGAACAAACATATTTAAATTTATTATATTACATGTATACAACCTTGCATTCTGAGCATCATCTACCATATGTGCACGCGAGTAAGTAATAAAACCAAATCCTCTAGACCGTTTTGTCTTGGGGTCCTTCATTACAACTACATCTACGATTTCTCCCCATTTTTCAAAATGTTTCTTTAGGGAATCGTCTGTGGTTCTATAGTCCAAGCCACCAATAAATAATTTTCGAACATGTTCTGGTTCATTTTTGCCATCCTGCAATACCAAATGATGTATACAATATAACAATGAAATAATAATTTTTGTTCCGTGCATGAAAATTAATCATGAAGCGAATGAATGAATGAAAGTAAAGTACAGGATATTTCAGTAAATCTCACATTAAACCTTCTATTTGACATGGTAGTCAAAACATTAATAAATATAAATTGGCTTTGAGTTTGGATAAATTAAATATGAAATACATTTGGGTTTGGGTGATTGGTCTGTCTACTATAATAAACTTGAAATGTTTATACAAGTTAGTTTCAAAAGTATTGTAAAATAGTAGTTTTTTGAAAATCAATGAACTATACATTTGAACACTTTCTTTGTTGTCATATTTAATTATTAAATTTGTAGAATTTAATATTGCTGAATAGAATGAAAATAAAACTCTACTAGAAGGAAATCAGAAAAGTTTATTTAACTTTTCTAATGAATGCAATATTAAACATTTATGTTAATATAACAAATTTCTGTGCTTTATTATGAATTACTGAAAAAAAGAGTTTATTCTTAAAGGAATTATAACATTGAAAAATTCACGAACGTTGAATACTTTTAAAATGAAATATTTATATTTTTGTTTCTTATATCAATTTCATTTTATATTTGAAACTTTAATATTTTTTAATTTACTATAAATGTGAGGAAAAGCTATATCAAGTAAAAAGTATTTATATTAATATAAGGATTTTACATAATTTAATATTCATTACTTAATCAAATATAGAAAGGTTTCCTATTTTTTAGATACTCTACATATATCACTTTTAAGCTACAGTAACACAGTGACATTATTCTTAACATTTACAATTACAAAAACAATTAACAGTACAATTGTACAATTTAACAGTATACTCATTGAAGTTCATAAATTAAAACATAATCTGTTATGTTTAACATTTTATCACTCATCAAATAGATGTACTTTTTTACAAATAGTACACTTTAATATCAATATATTGATAATAAAGCAATATTTTTATTAGAAATCATAAAAATTCCTTCAATGTATAGATAAACACATTCTGTTTCAGTATAACATGTTAAATACAAATGAAATGCTTGAAATATCGTATCATACATAATTTAATATTTTAGGACCACGTTAATATAACATGTAATTGTCACATAGTCGTAAACATTGAAATCCGTAACGATTTTATTTAAATTAACATGAAATCACTGTTAAATACGCATCGTGTTTATAATATTTGAATCAAAGTATAGTTTTCGAAACTGTTCTCAAATGGCGTAGCGTCAGGGTACGCCATGCCATAATCGAACAGCATAAAACGTGCAGTAGTATATCTGAAAATATTGAACATTACTGTAACTTTTAAACAATGCAACTTTCTGGCGTATATTTTTCCAACTATCTTATCGGAGTAATGTGACGAGTACTTTACATCGAAACCTAACAAATTCACGCGTAGAACCAAAAAATAGAAAATTATATCAGTCATAAATAAATTATAAATAAAATTTAAGTAAACGCTCGTAAATAACGTAAATAATGATGGTAAATAAAATTATCGTAGGCTATATATGCCATAGAAGCATTACATACATATGTATATATATACATGCACAGCAAAATGAAGCATCAACTCAGATTATGTACCTTCCTTTTTTGTTTTCCACAAATGATTTACGTATAAAAACAAAAATTGTAGGATACATATATATATATAGATATCTATACTTACATCATGTTCCATTTTAACCATTTCGAATAATTCCGAAGTCAAATACCCTTCACTACACCAAACAGGAAGAATCTCACTACGTACTGCAAGAAATAGATACGCGCACGTCGCCCAATCGATTACTGCTCCTTTCAAACACTTATGTAAACCCCAAATGCGCACTACCATACAAATATTTTGATCATGCGCACACCTAACGCTTCTATCATTTTAACATTTCTCTGAAAATTCTATAAACTTTTTGCATTAAGTGCTATCTAAAAAAATGTCATGTATTAATTTACATATCTTTTAATCTATTCTAGTTGTTAATAGTAAAAAAAAACTTTTATCAGCAATGTCGTGTATGTACTTTCTCTCGTACTCGATGAAGTAATATGCATCATACTTGAAAAAACTATTTCATGACACTAAATTAAATGGCGTAGCCAAATATAATCGGTTTGGCATATAAATTTAATTTACAAACGCAAATAATACATGCTCATTATTGTGGCTTTTTTAATATAATATGTTTATAATAAATCTTGTTAATACAGCGCCGGAAATGTGAATTGTGAATATATCGAACTACCTATGAATAAGTAAATGTAATGCTTGTTACAAAATTTATTTTTTATTTTTACTTTTGTATGTAACTTAATGTGAAACATTTATAATGAAATTTAGGGTATATAATTAATAAAAATGTTATATTTTATGTTTAAAATTTTAAGCACAAAAGTCGCATAATAGAAAATTTGTAATGAATAACAATGTATAAAACATTTAATATAAATATTACATTACTTGAAGAAATCATAGATTAATAATATAAAATAAATCCATATCGGAATTACAACTAATGGTCAAAATAACAAACACAGGTAATTAAATTGTAAATCGAAGTTACAACCTTACAAATCGTTACAAGTTAGTATAAATCTGTTATATTTATTGCAATACTTATGCAGGTAAAGCAATCAATTTAAATTCAATTTAATTTTTAGGATGTTGAAATATATAGTAGTCATTTCGATATTATACTTCTAATTTCCTCTAGTGAAACATTTAAAACAAACTTAACCTTCATGTTATTCGATTTGATACCACCGAAAAACAAATGAAGTGGAAAATCAATTCAAAATATTTACTACAAAAAACATTATCAAATATATTATATATTATAAATATGAATGAATAGAAATTTAATGCTTTCTGTGATAAACTCTGGAAAATATAATGGGTCTTCCTGAGAATTTGAATAGAGAAGATGACAAATATGATCATATTTCCTCATTTTGATAATTTTATGTATGTATATATTTTATTATTCCTAATTATACATTTCTATATAATTGTTTATAATACAGTGTGAACTCATATCTATATATTGTTATTTGCTAGGTAACATAGTTATACAATATAGAAATCCACAACGGATATAAGTTTAATAATATTAAAATGAATAAAACAAAAGCTGTTGATTGTAACAGTAAAATATATGGATTCAAAAGAGAATTGGAACCTGAAAAAATTATTGGAGCTACAGACTTTAGCGGGGAACTGATGTTTTTAATGAAATGGTTAGCGTCGATTTATTAAATATAATGTAGAAGATAAGTAAATTATTATTATTAAGATTTCTTTTTTTATATAGGAAAGGAACAGAAGAAACAGATTTGGTTACAGCAAAAGAGGCAAATTTATTATGCCCACAGATAGTTATACAATTTTATGAGGATAGACTTTCATGGCATGTTACGAAACAAAATTCAAAGTAAAACCATCTAATATTTATATTTTAAAAACAAATCGAATTAATTCATTCATTTTACGTTTTAAATTAAATATATAAGAGTAGCAAAATGATCGATTTTTAAAGTATTCCTTTCTTATTGATTCTACCAAGCAAAAATAAATTTTTGAAACATGCAAAATGGAAATTTATTATACAATGTCTTGGTTCTGTTGGTACAAACTATCTTCAGGTATATGTATAGAGTAATAAATAATTGTAAAAATCATATGACCGTCAACACCCATTGATATTGTAAGACAAATAACTTAAGCATGTAAATAATATATAAACTTATGATGGCTATTAATTTGTATTCATTTATTAAGATGTGAACAAATAGCACAGGAAAAAAATGCAATTTTGTTTCAAAAATTCACAAATTAATAAAAAAAATATATTTGTCCTCACATAAAAGGAACAATACTTGATGTATAATATAAATTCCTTGCATGTTTTTAGAATTTGCTTCTGTTTAGGGAGATCAATAAGAAAGAAATAATTATATTTCCCTATATATATATATATATATATATATTTATATACCTTTTAATATATGTATTAAAAAGTATAACAATAGTAGGAAAGTGACACTGATATTTACTACAAAAATATTGTTAACTATATATTAAATATAAACTAATAGCAATTAAATGTTTTATGTCATGAACTTTAGAAGATACATATAAGTACTTTTGAGATTTTAAATAGACAAGATGCCAACACGATCATATTTTCACATTTTGATAATTTTATGTATGTATATATTTTATTATTTTTAATGGTACATTATTAATATAACATTCAAAATCTGTGTATTTGTGATTCTCCTATAACTTCTATTATTTGTGTCCAATCCAAATGAAATTTTATTTAGTTACTCTTTATGTTCCAATGAAGACTAAGGACTACGTAATTTATAAAAATTTTAACTAGTTATTATCATATTCTTACAAAATTAATAATCTTAAACCTGTCGTCTGCGCTCTCGGCGGTAATATGTTTAAATTTGTTGCGTAATAATTCCCATTCTTGACAATAAATAGCATTAATAAATTCTGTATATCTACAGATAGATCTGTATACTGCAGATACCTATTCAAATTCGAAATCTGTGTATTTGTGATTAAGTAAATAGAAGTACAAAAATGTATTTCTTAACCTTAACCATCAGTCATGTTTAATAGATGGATATACTAATTTTTATCTGATTACTCATAATACAGTGTAAATTTATATTTATATATTGATATTTGCTAGGCAAATAATTACAAACTATAAAATATTACAACCAATGTAAATTCACTGATATGGTGATGAATGTAACAGAAATTATTGACTGTAACAATAAGATATATGGATTTAAAAGAGAATTAGAACCTGATAAAATTATTGGAACTACAGACTGTAGTTAGGAACTGACGTTTTTTATGAAATGGTTAGTTTTGATTTATTATGTACATTATGAAAGAAAATTGCATTGTTGTTATTACTAAATTTGTTTATACATATAGGAAGGGAACAGAAGTGACAGAAGTTACAGCAAAAGATGCAAATTTACTTTGTCCACTAATAGTTATGCAGTTTTATAAGCATAGATTTTCATGGTACATGAAGAAGCTAAAGTCAAAATAAAACTATTATTTATATTTGTAGAACGAATGGTATTAATTAATTAGTTGTTCATTTTAAACTAAATATATAACTGTGGGGAATAATTGCTTACTGTAGCCTCCTTTTCTTATGGTATTTTCTCAGTAAAACAATTGTGAAAATCATATAAATATCAACACCCATTGTAGATATTATAGTAAAAATATCTTAAGCATGTAAATAATGTATATAAACTATTGGTGGTTATTTATTTGTATTAACTCATTAATATGTGAATAGTCAGAACAGAGATGAATTATAGTTTTGTCAATAAGGAAAACGGGACAATTAAAAAGTAGAACAAAATAAATTCAAAAAATACAGAAACACAATGAAAATCCTCAAATTAATACAAAAAATATGTCTGTTTTATTTGAAAAGTTTGATAAAAAAAGTAATAGCTATTTTCAGAGGATAACGAATATGAATGTATTTATACAGAGTGTTACCATCGGGCAGAGGGCGATTCTATGCGCGAAAATAAATCAAAAAGAGGGAATAACATTTTTCCGTTTGAAGTTTCGTTTATGAGTTAATTGTTTCAAGGCCGCGCGGAGTATGATTATTTTCATTTACACTTTCATATTCGTTGTCCTCTGTAATGTTAACATTCTGTCTTCGGCAGTACGACTACCGGCTACTCTTATTGTTTGTTTGTATCGTTCGAAATGTAACAATGTCTCTCTACAGCAATCGTGAATACGTTGACATGGTGAAAGTGTTAGGAGCTTGGAATGGGAATGTAACAGCATGAGCTAAGTATTACAGACAACGATTCCCAAATTGTCGCCATTCAGACAAAAGGGTGATACAGAGTATAGAGCCGAGATTAATCGAGTACAGTTCATTTCATGATTACTATAAATCTGATGGTCGTAGATCTATAAATTTACATACAACAGTTCTTAATACCGTTCTTGACAATCCCAGAATAATAATAAACATATTATCTATACATTTTTAATCTCAATTTTCTCGTAAACAAAGCTTCAAATAAAAAAAATTTTATTCCTTATCTTCAACTTATTTTCGCACGTAGAATCTCCCCCTCCGAAGGTACTGACCCGTCTGGTAACACCACGTTTACAGCGTGTGTGATTTATCTGCGAACGTTTAAATGCCTTGAGAAATGTGGATGACGTAGAAAAATATTTCAGACAAAAGATATAGGGTACTACAAGGTATGTATGTATGACAACTATATTTAGTTGACCTTGAAAAATCTTTTAAAGGTCACGTTTAAATTGTTAAATTGAAAATTATATTTTTTATTACATATTCTTATAATCGATATTATAACATATTTAAAACACTACTTATATCTTCATTTTGCACTAGCCAATATGGAGATATCAAATTTCAAATTTGACGGTTAGCATAACACTAATTCCAAAAACTTGTGTAAAATATCGGTGGCTACGTAAATATGTACACATTGAATATGCAATAACAGAAACAGTTTTTCTAATGTCTTCATAACATTCAAATAGTCAGTTTACCAAATACTTTCGATGAAGCAATGCATACGTATGTAGATTCGTTTATTTTCATTTTACAAAAAAACATAATAAAAATGCCTTTTACATTGAAAGAAAAATTTGAATTGCCAAATTAATATACAATGTAATGCATAGTGTTTCATAAACGCTATTCAAATAAAGTAAAATCAGTTCCATCGGTGGTAAAATATTATGGTTATTTTGTAAAAATTTGAAAGTATGAAGAAAGACAAACACTGAAATCATAGTTGATCAAAAAATGACGAGACAAATGTGTTGGCTATATTTTTCAATTACCCTACAATACCTGTTAGAATAGTAGCAGCTAACAATGGAGTATTTCAAACAAATGAGTGGATTATTCGTAAAATATTAAAGAAAGAATGAATTTTGATTGTGATTTCGAACCTTGTATTTAATGTACATTATAGATATTTTCTAATATTGCTGAAAATACAACATATACAGGATGTTCAGCCAGCCTTGGGAAAAATTTTAATGGGAGATTCTGGTGGTCAAAATAAGACGAAAATCAAGAATGCCAATTTGTTGACTGAGACTTCGTTAAATAATTATTAACGTTTAAAGTCCCACCTGTAGAACGGCAATCTGCGAACAGCTGCGTACACGCGATAGTGGTTCTTACTCAAAAAACTGTGAAGCTGTTGATGAGTCAGTAAGTAGAGTTTCTCATACTGAGCGAGAACCACTGTCGCATGCACGCAGCTGTACGCAGATTGCCGTTCTACAGGCGGAACTTTAAACGTTAATAATTATTTAACGAAGTCTCAATCAACAAATTGGCATTCTTAATTTTCGTCTTATTTTGACCTCCAGAATCTCCCATTAAAATTTTTCCCAGGGGTGGTCGAACACCTTGTATAATTTTATCATTAAAAACAATCGTATTTTTCAAACAAACGATACTTAAACATTAACTAATGCAAAATGAAAACGTTTCAACATCAGCTATAAGAATAGGCAATAAAATGAATAAGTTCGAATAAAAAAATTTACATGTAACCCTCATAGGGCTTTTTAAGGCTATCCCAAGATTAAATAGATATAGTGCTGTATGTGTCTTTATATAGTGTGTATGAAGAATTAGGGAAGCGATAGGACAAAGGTTTTTTTATTGATTAAGGGTACAAGAAGAAATGTTGATGACTATGACTAAGGATGATTTACTGGCGCTTACAAGACATTATGCCGCGACCAGCTGATATCTACCTAAATCTATTATGATAGAATAAATATACTAAATATTAGAAGTATGACTAGTTAGTAATGCACCGTTATTTATAAAAGATTGTGTCGAGATCAATACGTATCCACCACAAACTAATACAAATTTTTATTGTTACCAGCTGAGGAGATCTAAAGAATACTTATAACCTAAATATTCAGTCTTAGAATATTACTACAAAGTGTATTTTATTGTGGTAACATAAAAATACACAAGATCCTATCCATTCATTACAAATTATTTATGTTCATAGCTTGAGAAAGAACTTAGTTCATTAGTTCATTTTGTGTCTAAACATAATTTACATACATTAATTTTATCAGAAACATTGTACAGTTGATATTCGATTTTTATATCCCTTTTTAAAACCTCAAACTTTATTATAAATACATTACAAAATTCAATTGATAAAAGAGGATTATTATTAACAATAAAACTTCCATAACTGTGTAGAAGTTATTATTGTGTTTACTTAAAAAGAATGGATAGAATTATTGCAAATATTGAATATACTTTTTGTTTTTATTTTTAAACATAATTGTATATTATAACAGTACTTCAATTAATATTGTAATCATGTAGTGCGTTATAACAAAATATTATTTTCTGTGTTTTCAGTGAGTTATAAACGGTAATAAATAATTGTTTAATTCGCTAGTCATATGATTTGAATGTATCTGCAATTTAACATCTTTAATATCACATTGTTTTTACTCGTTTGTATCTTTAGAATTTTTTGATAGTAAATTGTGTTATTTGTTGTTTTAAAGTCTTCATTTGTAGAACTAAATCTTCCGAAAGTATTTGGTTTTAATTTTTAAATAATCTGATTTGTACTTAATGATATTTCATTTTTCTTTTTGTTGTTCGTAATTGGTAAGAACTATTTTTCTTAGTTTATATCAATATTTTGACTAATGTTCATGGTTTTAATTGCATACTTCCCATGAAATTACCTTCTATGTGCTTATTGTCATTTTCAATGTTTAATTTAATATCTTTTTTGCTAGGAATTTGTTCTTCTTCATTGTGACATTGAACACTTGTTTGCGTATTTGAATCTGTTTCTGAAAATGAATTTTCGTCGAGAGTTGTTTTATGTGTAGTATTTTTCATGTTAAGATTTGTGCGGGATGTTTGATTTATAGAAGTGGAATATGATTTATCTATACAATTCAAACAATTTCGGAAAAAATAATTATGATTAGATACATTTTGTGGATACAACTTTTCTTCAATTCGTCTATTTATTACTACAGCTTCAGCAAGAGGTATCGGTTCTGTATATGTGAATATTTTTTTTCTATTATCAGTCTTATCTTCTGGTCTTTTAATACTAATTGGTCCATTAATAACAGGAACTGCATTACTTACTTCACTGGTAGTTCTTATGACGGGTGTAATATTACCCATTGAATCTAATCTAGAGCTGATTTGATCACTAGAACTTACATAAACCACGGATACTTTAGTTGAAGTTTTTGGTAACAAGTTGGAAGTTATTTTGTATGATTTTTTTGGTCTTTGTTTCTGTTTCAAATTGATTTGTTTAGTTTTTTCCAAATTAGTACTTCTGTCAGATACAGGATTCTGTAATTTCTTGACATTATAAAATGGATTGTCTGGATGATGATGCCTAATATGCCGATGTAAATTATCTTTTCTTCTAAATACGGTTTGACAATATTTACAAGAAAATGGTTTTTCCTCTAAAATAAAAATTATGTATAGTATTATAATATGTTATTATAATACATATTTTCAGTAAAACATACCTGAATGCACCGTTAAATGACGTCTCAATTCACTTTTTGATAAAAAAACTCTACTGCAGTGAGCACATGAAAATGGACGATCTTTTCCGTGTGTTTTTTTATGACGGATTAACAAAGACTTATCTTTAAAACTTTTATTACATTGATCACATACATGTGGTCTTTCATCTATTAACAAATAACGATAACACATAAGTAATTTGCATAAGTAGCCTACAATTAAATATAAGTAATTTGGCAAATTAGTGCTTGTATCTTTTATTTAATCCTTTATATTTTACTATTTTATTTGAATAATACGACTGTGTATAAAATTTAATCTTACTTGTATATATACTTACTTATATGTGTTTTTAAATGACGTTTTAAGTTGGTTAATATTCCAAAAGATTTTTCGCATTCTTTACAAGAGTATGTTTTTGCACTATTATGCACATCCAAGTGATTTTTTAAATCATCTCGTTTAGTATATCCTTTATTACATTTAGTACATACAAATTGTTTTTCTTCTAAAAATTACAGATAACTTTTACTAACACTTATTAATTTATTGTTAATTTAAACCTAAAGAAATTAAATTTATAATATAAAAATAAATAATAGTATATCATCAGAACTTACTATTATGTGAATACATATGCCTGTTAAGTTTGTTTTTTTGAGGAAATGCTTTTTCACAAAGGTTGCACTTAAATGGTTTATATCCTCTGTGAACTCTTTCATGATATTCAAAATGAGAGCGTTTAATGAAAGTTCTGTCACAAAAAGAGCATTGATAAGGTTTAACACCAGTTAAGCAAGCATCATGATAGCACTTTCCTTTCTTGTTCTGAAAAATTTTGCTGCAAATATTACATTTATATCTTTCCGGTGATCCAGGTATTACTGAAATATGTGTACGATCGCAAGTTTTTATGGATTTATTTTTTATTAATTTTTCATTACTTGAAAACTCTGTTTTAATTTCCTACAAAATAGTTATAATGTATGTTTTGATGATTCCTTAGATAATATGTATGAATTTTCACACTTACCAAACCACATATTTCTGTAACTTTGTTGTAAGATGATGGTTCTATTCCAGACTTGTGATTTAAACATGCGTGTGCATTTAAAGGTACATTGTCAGTTTCTACCTTGGAAATATATAACTTACCAGAAATATCTCCATGTTTAACATCAGTTGTAGATTTATACACTTTTTTTCTCTTATTCAATATATTTTCACTGTATAATTCAGAATTATTTGTACAATTCACAGAAAGGAATTCAGAATTATTAGTTTTAGATTTAGAATGTTTATTAATAACTAATTCTAAGGGTAGTACTATTTCTTCATTATATTTGGTATTTTTATCAAAAGTAGAAATATTATTTGTATTTCCTTTTGCTGTGGATGTGCAATCTGCAAATAAAATAGAAATATATAATATTTAATATAAAACTGTAATAAAACTTGTTACTAGATTACTAAGATAAGAATGAACATAATTAATCTTCTACATATGAAACATTTTAATTTCCTACCATAATTTCCAATATTTTGTACATAATGTAAATTACTACAGATTTTACATCCTTGTTCTTCATATAGTAAACATATACGACATTTAGTATGGCCACAACTGTCTTTTATAAGTCTTGAACATGATGTATTTGTTATTTGTTTACAACTCGGGCATTCTTCATTCATTATAAATTTGTAATTCTAAATTTGAAATTCTCCATTTATTATTTAATAAATATGTTCTCGCCTCATAATTCCATATTTTTCGTGAAAATATATTTTCGTTATACTACTAGTATCGTACCACTTTGACTCGTACGTTTACTTATACTTGCTTAATATTAATAATAAGTATAACCACAGCCGACTCTAGTACTAGCCGTGCTGAAGGTAAAATGGCAACACCGCGGGAGTCCGGCTTCGATATACCTAGCCCAACCTACCGTAACAGCCTCCCAGCTACATAGGCTCCATCTACCGGCCTTCCGGTCTCCCGCCTATCTTTCAAATGTTTCAAATATTAATGTACCGAAGTCCATTAAATGTGAGCAACGGAGCAATAATCCAGGTGTTTCATTTATTTATATTAACTCTACAGATCCTGATTTTGGTGTGTATCACACTTATTTAATATAATCTATAGCATTTTTGGACATTTTGTTTTATATACATTTTTTTTATAAATTTCACATATTCATTAATAATGCCACGGCGTTGCTGTGTTCCCAATTGCAAGGGAAATTATGATAGTACCTTAAAAGATAATAATTACAATTCTATATTTTTATTCCCCAAAGATGAGGAATTGCGGGAGAAATGGAGGGTTGCTATTCCTCGTAAGAATTGGACACCATCAAAATATTCTGCCGTCTGTAGTTTGCATTTTGCAGAAACTGATATTGAAAGGTACCACGGTATTCTATCGCCCAATGGTGTACTGGAGAATGTTTTGTTGAGATGTCCAAGGCTTATAAGGAATGTAGTACCCTCCATTTTACAACCGAAAAATTAGAAAAACGATTTGGAAATTATAGACTTTTATCTGGTTGTAATTATCATGTGTCATATAACGAAATAATTCATGCAGAAAAAAAAATTAGATTAAAACATATATTTACAAAATCGGCAAATTCGTTTTCTCTTACTGAAATCAAAAATAAATTTCGAATTTGTGATGACAATAATAACGATCTTCATGATCTTCCCACTGATGTGACTTGTTTCTCAGGAATCTTCGATACCAAATACTTGTCCGATTGTGTTGTAGATGATTCCATTAAAATTTATATTTCTGGTTATGGGTCCCATTCTGTTGCTAAAAAATTAAATTCCAATATATGTCGTTTATTAGTTGTGGAGGATAAAGGTAAAACTGTAGACGATGTATATTTTGATCACTTACAAAGAGGGGGCCATTCTGTCCCCACTGAAGAAGTGATAGCCTCATTTATTCATATGTATGCAATAATGGAAGCCATAATAAATGATGCCAATTTAAAATCTCAATTTTTGCAATCTGGAAATCATAAACATATTTTATGTAAATTAACATATATTAGCATTCAATCAAACATACATTATTTAGCATTTTCAGATACATGCGTTTGTGGTCGAGCTTACCAAAGTATTTGGTTTAAATTATTATCAATTTTTTCAAATATTTTATTAAACGATTATGAGAAAACTGTAAATAATAGTCAGTTGGAAACACGTACAGACATCACTTCTAAAAATCGTAAATTAAAAACTTTTAATAGGAACTAGATTTTCAATGATTTTTTTTAATTTCATCTTTCTTAAAACATTAATTTTTATATATATTTAACTTATTCCTTTCAATATGTTTTAATACATTAATAGAGTTTTATTTACTTGCTTAGTATATTTTTATTATGAATACTATTTCACAAGATTCAAAGTTTTATTAGTTGTATTTCAAGAGAATTTCAAAGTATGTTTTGATATGTTTTGTTATTAATATTATTCAAAATTATTTATTATTATTTCAAAATGTAATACTTTATTTCTTTAAGAATACAAAAGTTATGTTTTTGTTATGTTCTATTTAAAAATATTAATTTTATTTTAGAAAATGGGATGATATGGCTATTGGTGAACCACCCATTATATTAAAAAAAAAAGGTAACGCGCCATGGTAAATACCTCTAGGGTGGTGAGGAAATTTTTCACAATTATCATACTGTCCTCTAACACGATTTTATAATTAACTCCATAATTGTTCCTTTCAATAGCTAATTATGCTAACCTCTTTTTCCACGGGCACTTAACCTGTTTGGCTTTGTACCAATAATTTTGCCTATTTCAGGTCTCTATTAACTTATACATACCTTTATCAATTTTTAAATCCTTCAGTTTGGTTCAAAGATGGTTTTAACTTGTTTCACACTTCTATTTTCTTGAAATCTCTGTAAATATTTCAAATATAATGCATCACAACACCAAACTATTCCGACAGTCCACAAAATATATACCACATTTATAAATATTAATATACTTCTGTATTACTTCTACTTACTATAGTTATGATATTCATATATTCCTTATACATAATTAATAAAAAATACTGTATATTATGTAAGATATTTTCCCTTTAATATCTAAATTCAATGTTTTGTACAGAAAGCTGGCTTGAACGTAACTAACTAAATTATTATTAACAAACGATTAACTAATAAAATGAACAACTTCTAATACATACTTCACGCGAAACACACACAAATAGTTGGCAATGCCATCAATCGAAACTCTCACATAATATAACCGCATTCATTCGTTACAAACCTAAAGGTTGCTTACAGCTTCGGCCATCCTGACCTCATGGTCGGCTCGACCATGTACACCATCAAAACTCCCAGACTCAATTTCGGAGTCGAGATCAACGCATTGTAACCATGGTCTCATTCGATCGGGACTAAAGGTTCCAGTAAAAGGCTTATTGGTTAATTGAAATCCCGGAATGTCACCAACGATATATCTATCCCTATCGAGTACCTTGTTTACTATATACGGGCCCTTAAACTTAGGCAATAGCTTATGATTTACACCTGGAGTAGTTACAACATTTCTTAACATTATATAATCACCTACAGTATAGATTCGCGGTTTTTTACGCTTTTTGTCGTACATAAATTTATTATAGTCTTGTAAGCGCCGATTTTGTGAAATAGCATTATTTCTAATTTCATCACGATTTATCTCTGTGTCAGTGACAGACTGCAAATAGTCGCGTAAATCATCATCAGTGAAACCATACTGTTCACAGCCAAATAGTAATGAACTGGGTGTGGTATCAATAGCTTTGTGGTACGTATTATTTATAGAAAACTGAGCCTTAATCAAAGCCTGATCCCAGATCTCGTCCGCACTCATTTTGGCCAGTATCGATCGTAGAAATCGGTTGACTCGCTCAACTTGGCCATTGGCTCTAGGTGTCGCGCTAGCTACTTTAACATGCTCAATTCTTAATTCCGACAATAAATCTGAAAATTCACCGGATGTGAACGAGCTGCCTCTGTCAGAGATAATTCGTTTACAAGAGCCAAAATGATGAAAGTACTGTTTCAGAGACTAGATAAGTTCTTTAACTGCAGTCGACTTAACCGGGTACATTATTACAAATTTGGTGAAGGCATCTATGATAATGAAAATATACTTAAAGCCTCGACTCGTTTTTTGCAGTGGGCCGTAATGGTCTACGTGAATAGTATCAAAAGGTCGAATACCTTTGTCGTAGATATGCAATTGACCTTCAAGTTTTCCAGTGGGTACAGAATATGTTAAACATTTGAAGCAATTATCGATGTATCCCTTCACCTGCACACGCATGCCTGGAAACCAATAGCTTTTATTAATTAAGCTGATGGTCTTTTCCAAACTTACATGCCCAACATCATCATGACATCTTTGTATAACCTCGCGAGTCATTGACTGGGGGACATAAAATAAAAGATTTTTATCATACTTTCTAAATACAACGCCGTTTCTCAACTCAAATTTATCGTCTTCTCGAATCTCTAACTCTCTATGAATAGTTTGTATTACAGGGTCTTGTAGTTGCTTATAGACAAAAATTTGATCGAATGACAAAGGTTCAATAAATAATATATTTCTACTCAGCGCGTCCACATGACGCATACGATCCGATGTCCGATGTACAATCTCGAAGGAATAATTTTGCAAAATCATCGCCCAACGACTGATACGTGGATTAATATCTTTTTTGCTAAGCGCTAATTTGACAGCACTGCAATCGGTCACAATAGTGAAGTTTATTCCTTGTAAATAAACTCGAAATCTCTCTAACGCATAGACAATTGACATCATCTCAAGCTCATAACTATGGTACCGGCTTTCTGTCTCCGTTGTTCGTCGACTAAAATACATAATAGGATGCATTTGTGAATCCTTCTGTTGTTGGAATAAAATGGCACCGTACCCGCAAGAGCTCGCGTCAGAATGCAACTCAGTTTTTGCCGTTGGATTGTAGAAAGCTAATACTGGTGTACTCACTAACCGATTACGAAGTGTTTCAAACGCATTCAATTCTGCTGCACCAAATTTAAAAGGTACATCCGTCTTAATTAGGTTATAAAGGGGTCTAGCAATTAAAGCAAAGCCTGGCACGAATTTACGGAAATAGCTAGTTAAGCCAAGGAAACGTTGTACTTGTCTAACAGTAGTGGGTTGCTGGAAAGTTTGAATAGCTTCAACGTTGGACTTATTTGGTGTCACCCCATTTTTTGAAATATTGTAGCCTAAATATTCGATATTTTGCTTCAAGAAGTGACATTTCCGAAAATTGAGTTTCAAATCGTATTCTGATAGTGATTTTAAAACATCGCGAAGAATATCTAAGTTCTCCTCAACAGTGCCGGTGGCAATTAAAATATCATCCATGTACAAGAGAATTTTGCCTGCATCAAGCAAAGGTCTAAATACTAAACTAATGAATCTTTGAAAAGCAGCTGGCGCGTTAGCCAACCCAAATGGCATCTTGAGATATTCAAACTGTCCATCCGGAGTAACAAACGAAGTAAATTTGATAGAATTTTTAGCCATAGTTACCTGATGGAATCCATCTTTAAGATCAAGACTAGTATAATAGGAACTATTGGCTAGACGAGCAATTTGGTCCTCAATTAATGGGAGGGGAAACCTATCTTTGAGTGTTATTTTGTTTAAAGCGCGATAATCGACGCACAATCGGTAACTATTATCTTTTTTCTTAATTAACACTATCGGACTACTAAAATTGGAGTTACTTGGCCTGATTATTCCCTTTTTTAATAGCCCGTCAATA